AATTGTCTTTGCAATGAAGTTTGTAGCTACAAAAAAGAATCAATCTGCTTGAAGTTACAGCGATTTGAAAAAATTTTTGCAACTGCCCGGGAACTTTCTTTACAACCTAATATATGAGGTCTGTCTGTTCTATCTGCCACACTACCCCCGTTACCACAAAAACATTACTGCAACTTCAATATTGCAATAATGCAAGACATACGAGACGTTTGACCTCATACGAGTCTCTCCTGTACCTACCAAAGTGGTTCCATGAAACCTCGTCAAGCTCTAGCCATCTCCCCGTCAAACTAGAAGATACGGAACAAAAACAAAACATTCATGAAAACAGTAAGGTATTTGAAGCTCAATGTTACATGGACGACATACTCATTATAAACAACTACAAAAACGAAATAATAGTAAATCAACTATGACAAAACATACCACAACTTCCTTGAATTACAAACCGCGCATGTGAATTGCTATGAATATAACTTTCTAGTGTTGAACATAATAATAAGGGATGGCAATATATACATTGAACAAAACAACAAGACGGATAGTTTTGATAAAATTAGCTTGGAGATACTTAGCCATGGTATCTCAAGCATCAGCAAGAACCACAAAATAGCAATTATATTCACTGAAAATCGTAGACTTGGCCCGTAGTAAACCCCCCATCAGGGCATCTCCCCTGAGGCGGACCGGAGTTGATATCTTGGCGCCTCAGTCCAGCATCCGGCGAGCCATTGATCGGAAAATCCATATTCTATCATCCACTCATGGTGATACGCTCCAATAGCCATCATGGACGGAACGAAATCCTAGTCCTGTGGTGGAGTGGCGAAGAGCTTTGCGTAGTGTGCAAAGGGTCGGAGATTCAGTTCCGTTGCAGCGCAAACGTTTTTGCGATGGCCAAAACCGATTGATTTTTATCGGCAAAACAGTCCACCACCAGTTGCTTTTCGATATCTGGAGATATATTGCTTATAACAAATAATTTGACCGTCACAGATCCTTACCGTTTCTCGGCGTTGACGTTCCGTCTAAATGCCATGCCCTTCGATATCACTTTTGCTCGATAATAATCGAAATGGTTTCTTATTTGTCTCTCCGTTATTTCAAACCTGTACTCTTCGGCTATCTCACCCACTAACTTGCGATAAGCAGTCATCCTCTTTCCATTTTGTGCAAGTGTTCTTACATTTGTATCGTTCAATAGAACTTCAAATACTTGAAATACTGAACAATATGTTTTGACACCGCATGTGGGATTTTTGTGGGAGTTTCTGAAAAAGGTTGAACTGACTTTTGTGTTGCATTACTTATTGTTTGGTGTAGAAGGATGGACTTTCAGCAACTCTAAATTCTGTTGTGGTGTAAAGCGATGGTTTTCTTAAGTTTAGCGAGGGTGAAGTGAGGAAATGGAGAAAAGCAGTTAAAGCGGAAAATGATTCAATTGATGTAATGATTTGAATCATAACGAGCGTTCCTGCGCGTAGCGTAAGCGCTTTGAGGATAAGTAAAGAAAACGTAAATTTATGTAATACAGATTTACACAAAGGAAACTGACCTTTTGATGAAGGATGAGTCATGACAATGGGAGAAGCCGAAAATGTCAGAATCAGCAATACACTAGCACTGAAATCATTGACCTCAAATCATTAAGTTAGATAATTTACAAGAATACATGGACGACAAGGTGCAATGTAGCAACGAAAACGTTGAAATGAGAATTGAACATGATGCTGCAATAAGGCGAATATAGAGGTGTTGTAAGATTTGCAGACGCTGAACATGTTCACTCGAAATGAGCTCGATTTACCGAACAACCACATTTGAACTGGCTTCATATCGAATATGAGAACATAGCATGCACTAGGATCAGCAGGATTCGGAGGCAAAGTTAAAATGATAGAAACTATCGAAATGCATTAGCAAGCAGGAGGAATGAATAAGAAAGTACGCGCAATTAGGCGTAGAATAAGTAGTGAAATAAAAAGAAACAACAACAAAAACCTCTGCAACTCCTCTAAATAGTTCGAATAAGAAAGTGTGTAGTTCTGCGTTGAATTTGTCTGCATTTTTTGGCAAAGTGGTGTGTATTGTAAGTTACTCAAGAGCAACTTACGACGATTTTCTCTGCGTTTCCTCTTTAGCACACTATTTCTGGACATCATCGCTCACATCATCTCCCATGACCCGGCAGGGAGACCATCTCCCTGCCGAACTTCACCTGAGGCTCACCTCTCAGGTGACGTTGCATCCCTATAGCATGGGGAAATGGGCGGTCGTCATTTTACTGAGAGAACCTCACATGAAGGTCTCAGAGGAGATCATCTCCCATGACCGAGCTTTACTACGGGCCTATCAGAACCTGCTCTCAATATCATGATCTCATAATAAGACTGGACTAATTGATCCACAATTTACTGGCACTAGACTACAAATGCGATATAATCATAAAAGCCATATTCAAATTCATCATAAATAGCTTACTAATAAAGTACAGAAATCGTGAAGTGCAAATTATTAAGGATACAAGAATGTCATAAAGTCAGTACTTAACACACCGAGTTCAGACAACCGAATATGACCGTGACCTCCCCCCTTGACCTGGTCCTATTTTGCCCTAATGCTATCAATAGAAATACCCCCCCCCCACTATGAATCAACATCATTTACTCCACTCTACTGATAATCCTCGGGAGTGATCGCATTTTCCATTGCTGTCCAGGAGCAAAGGCGAAACGGGAACCTACTTTATGCTATTATAGTCCGGTAAGAGGCGACAAATCCGTGAAGGTTACCCGGTGTTCGGCGTTTCATGGCTTGATTACTGTCCTGACTACACTACAACATTTCCATCTGTTACAAGTATTTTTCAACATACTTTAGGCCAAATGGCCATGCGAGAATCCACTGGTCATTATCATCCAACGGTATAGTTTTCCTCTTACTTTCCAAACTACATTATAAGGAGATTTGCACAAACATCCCATCTGTTTACTTATCACTTCCATTTAATACAAAAAAGAACATTTGGAAAATCATCATTCTTCCGAATATAAAAATGCATCATTCCCATTTTACCGCCTTTTTATTTACAACTTCAAAATCCATCTTCACAATTTTTAACTAGCCCGCCAGTCACGTATAGGCTTCATGAAGAGCGGTCAAATTCTTAGTTTTTATCAACACAAGTAATGACGGCGGTCCTACCCGCCGATAAAAAGAGGAATCTGAGGTACTGAACATTTATGATCTTCATCCCCTTCAGCTTGTCAGCTCCCACCCATTCCCTCCCCTCCCAGCCCAAAGATTGCAGAAAAAAGTTGAACTTACTGTGTCACCGTGTCTTCATTCGCAAACTCGCCACAACCTGCCAGCTGCCTAATCGCACACTAATATCAAAAAACAAAAATTGAAGCGAAATCAAAAATCAAAAACGAAGTGAACAAGAGACAAAGAATGAGGAAGATTAGGAGGTATAAGCTCCTGCAAGACGAAGGCGGTTGGTCGAGGTGCGACGTGGCTGTGACGCGGCTGTGACGCTGCTGTGACGCAGCCATGTCGCAGCCGCGTTGCACATCGAACCGACCGCCTTCGTCTTGCAGGAGCTTATACATGAGCGAAATCACAAATCGAATTGCTCCCCACCTAAGCACTTCCACTCCGAGCAGTGATCCCGTGCGTGGTCCCGTGCGGAATGGCGGCATCGGCACTGGCTCCAACGACCTGAAAGGGTAGGCGTCAATACGACGTACAACGCTTCCACCCCCCCCCCCCCTCCCCCTCCCCTCACCCCTCCCCACCCCTTCCTCTCCGGTTCGACGTTTGGGCGTGAGTGCCCAGGCCCAGCATCACTACCTTCACTTTGGGACGGTGCTAGCTGGAATCTTCTTCACTTTTGGGTAAACCGGCTCCCTTCATGCGCCTCTGAGCGAAAGTACCCTATTTTCAGGTGTATAAGCCGCACTTTTTCAAATTTTCCCACGAGCTGCTCAGCCGCTTTACTGTGTTTCGAGAAGCGATCCTTATGCCGCACGATTCTTTCAAGCAGTACGCAGCACGGGGTAGGGTCCTTTGGTTGCGAGGTCCTTTGATGTGTTCGGGCTGGTCGATGTAACTAGGACCACCCCGCGGCTTATACACCTGAAAATAGGGTAATTATGAGTCCTCTCACCAAGAGGCTGTACATCAGGAGTACTATGAGTGAACGTAACAAGGCAATCGATAAAAGTATCATGAAAATTAATTGTTATGGTCGAGTCAGATATACTATTATTGTATTGACCCATGTGGCTAAAACTTCAAATTTTTGTCAATTTTCACATTTGGCCTACAGGGGAAAGAACATCTGCTTGCCTTCAGGTTGTTTCATAATGCGGGGTCAGTGCGGCATTACTGAAACAACTCTTAACAGTTTTGTACTTGTCTGAACTATATTTTCCTTGTTTAGTCACATGTCCAATTCATGATCTCTAATAAGTATAGGGTGGAGAAAAGGTTGTGCAGTTTACGCACTCCCTAGGAAGGAAACCCATGGTCAAAACTCAATGTAGTTCACCCTCAAAAATGTTCCTTACATAACGAAATCAGAAGGCTGTCCAATTCTGACTGTAACATGGGCACAACCTAAAAATCTCGCAGAGCAACGGCGCACATGGTCATCGCGACCGCACAGCGCACTCTTCAGAACTTGGAGTTACACGTGTGAGAAAAAAGTATCCATTCGCTCTTCAAACGCAGACATTATGAGAGCAAGAGAGTTGGGGCATTAATCACGACGGCGCACATCTCATGCTAAACTAGCAAGCTTGTTTTCGTTGTCTTTTTTACGTACCTCTTTGAAATTTATAACCTGAGCTGTAAAAGGTACAGGTGACTTGTTTCTACTTGTGATTAGAGCGATATTGAAATTTTCAAAAACTGAAATCTTGTTAGCTCTTATTTCGAATTTTCTGTCATTGTAGCTCAGTCGGCATGGAAATTGATACTCATTCTCACTTGGAGTGTGTTACATGGCGGCTGCTCAAGTAAAGGTCTCTCCAGCTATTACCGACTCTGCAGAAACGGTCAGTCACTTGGTAAATATTGAGAGATGTGTGCCAAAAATTTCAATCTTATAAAGTGTCGTATTAGATTCGAAGCCTCAGTGTAATTCATTTTTTGCTTTAGGCACTTGAGCCAATTTTTCAAATGGTTGTTAACGGTGATTTGGAAGGATTAATCAATTCCTACCTTGGTCACGAGAACTTTCGACATCTTGATGAGCTTGGCAACAATTTGCTGCATTATGCTGCAAAGGTGAACGAAATTATTGCGCGTGGCGCGAGCTCTAATGGTGAAAGCATTGCCTGGCAAGCATTCTCCCACAAATGAACGTTTCCTATGCAAGGTCCGCCGCGCGCATAGCTCCAGTGTTCACTGTCTTCGTGCTGAACAATTCTTGTGGAGTGAATGCGGCACAGAGTATGAGAGTGGGTGCGAGTTTTTCTGGATATCACTAATCTTTTTACATTTTCATTTTCGAACGCAACGCAAATTTTAACGTACATTTGCAGTGGCAACCTCTGAACACCAATCATTCATTTCATTTTCTCAATTCATTTGTAACTCCATCATGGGATTTGTGCACACTGCGCGGTAACCAACACATTTTTATTACTAGCTGATCTGCCCGGTCCAGCCCGGGAATGATCACTGAAGATAAAGTTATGCTGCATTGGTGGCCAACACAATTACTGCACTGCTACTCTCCACCCCGGCTCAGGTTATAGATGCTTACCTCGAAACACAACTTCGCTCGTAGCTGGGAAGCAGACGTTAGATAATCCATCGCGCTTGTCTCTCATCAGATTGTTCGACAACCACGAATGTACTTGTAAGCTTTGGGAATGAAAGCAACCGGCCAGCATATCACCTATCACAGTATTGATGATCATTTTTATCATGCTTTCCTCTGTCCGGTTGCATTAACAATTCCGCACTGCAACGTCGTTCATTTCATGGAACCCGAAAATATATTTTTTGTCGTCTACCGACACCGCAAGCGTAAAAGTGGGTTTTTGCAATTTCAATTTTTTTATTCTAGTTCAAAGCATTTTCCGCATCTTATCAACTCAAGACAATACATTGCTGCTATCAGACATTCAATATACTATTTTTGAAAATGTAAGGGGTTTTGTTGCTGTTTGTAACATTTCAACCGAATCATTTGCGCTCAATTGCACATAGACCCTCTTCTCAAACGTTTGCAAAAGCGACTTTCAAGAATATGCGGCGTCCATGAGCTTGAAAGACACACACAGACACACACACACCTCAATATGAATGTATACATGATTTTCGAACACATCCGGAAGCCTATCGTCGTCTCCTCGCGATAGATGGGGCGTGTCGTCTGCAAAGTGCGTAGACGTGCGTATTTTGTACGGTATTAGCCATGGTGTAGCATGTATATACATGCCACGTCTAAATACTTGTTAAATCTTCATCATATAACATTAGTTTTCGTACTCTCTAACTGCCAAAAACTGCCACGCGCATACGTTGGCAACGTTGGCAAAGCCACGCCGGCTAGCACCGTACGAAACACGCACATCTACGGACTTTGCAGACGACACGCCCCATCTATCGTGGGGAGACGACGATACTTGGAGTGCGCTTCCTGTCACTGCTCTCTGCTTGCAAAAACTTGGAATAAGACATACCGCTCCTTTACACTCTACTGAGCAAATGATCTGTTAAGCTTTCACTTTCCTCTAAAAAAGTAAACAAGTCAATAAATTGATAGAAGGACTTACTGACTCGCCGCAAAAAGTAGCCTATTTTTTGCGCCGTGGCTTGTTTAAGGGGAGCAAATTTCGGCCTCATCGGTTCACAAACAAAAGAGTCTATAAGCCACATACTTACATACGAACAAATTTACAGAGATTGAGTTTTATTTATATATAGATTATGGTAACTAGTGGTAAATGTTCATTAGAACCTCTTCAGATAACAAGCTGTAAAAATGTCCTAATGAATAATACATAGGCACTCAAACCAAAAAAGAGAGAAAGAAGAAGAAATCATTGGATTAGAGGTTCTAGTCTTACAAGTAGCGAGCGTTGTGTGCAATACGCATATGAAGTTACAAGATTCAACGATAATCATGTTTACAATTTCAAGTCCATTGCCATATATTAGGCTGGCACGAAAGTTTTGTCGCTCCATTCAAAAATTCATAACTTCTGACTTTTCGAACCGATTTGACTGTTTTTATTTTTTTATGAAAGAGTAAGTCATGGTCTTTATAGTAACATTTTAGCTGCTTGCTAATGGTCATCTGTTGTATAGATAGGAGCGATAGAAGAAAATCAGTCAAAATTCGAATTTTCTGTGTAGGGTCATAAAAAATCGGAAACTTACAACAAAAATCGGAGCATTCGGTACTGTAGATTCTGTCACCAGCTCTTTCTAACACTGCAAGGTTTGCGCTGATTGAGCGTCTCTATGAAAAGTTATGATTTCTCTGAAAAATTAAATATCAAATTCGCCCTTTTCTATTGCCTGCTCAAAAATCGTGACTTTTCATAGAGGCGCTCATTCGGCGCAAACTTTAATCTACGATACAACTGCTCCGATTTTTGTTGCAAGTTTCCGATTTTTTATGACCCTACATAGAAAATTCGAATTCTGACTAATCTTCTATCGTTTATATCTATGCACGTTATGCTTATCAGAAAGCCGCTAAGGTGCCTCTATGAAGGGAATGAATTGGTCTTTCATACGAAAATAAAAGCAGTCAAATCGGATGAAAAAATTAGAATATGAATTTTTGAAACTGATGCGACAGAACTTTTGTGCTAACCTAATATAAACCTAATACCCCTCGCTCCATAGATTAGGATTATGCTCCTTCGCAAGGATAGCCGGTATACTTGGGACCGAATCGAATAATTATTCGATCATTCGAATAAATCATTCGAATGCGAATGATTCGAAAAGTCGAATATTCGAAAATCTTCATTTTCGAATATTATTCGAAAGTCGAATATTCGAGGGTCATTCATTCGATCATTCGATGTCCATCAAATACTCGAATATTCGCCGAGCCCTGAATATTCGGAAATTCGATAAGAATTGACTATTCGAAAATTCGATAAGCACCGAATATTCGAGAATTCGATATGCACAGCGTACACGGGATGTCTTAAAAGTATCTACACACCGTTTGATCGCTAATACCTCTCAAAGTCTTTTGCCGACTTCTGGGTAACATCCAGTAGGGATGGCTTCAGCTTAGAAATACAGCAGAAAGCGAATCACCCATGTTTTTCTTATTGTGTGTTATCACAGTAGGAAACTCCAACTTATAGACCAACTGCAAAATAAGACATCCAAAAAAACTGTTCTCAAAAAGGTATAAAATCTGTGCAGCAGTTTTTTACGTGCTGATTTTACTACGCACGAATTTTTAAGCTTTTCAAATGGCAATCACATTTTTGAAAGGCGTTGCAAAACACTTGTTACGGTGTATCATTTGTTTCCCAGCAAATTTCCCAAAGGTACCACGTCATGCCGCTGCCTTTCGCTATTTTGAACGTAACGTGTTAACCTGGGAAGTTCCGTTAAGATCTCAGGAGGAACGTGTCAAAAGGAGCGAAAGGCAGCGTCGCACCACGTACGCACGCTGACTCACAGGGAATTCTTCTGGGGGACACAGGATACCTGGCGTAAGTTTTGAAAGAAAGCATTACGGTTGAGTGTAAATTCTACATAAAGTGAGTGTCTTTAGAAATCCTAAGCAAGAATTTCAGCCCTTTTGATTCTTTTTCTTGGGGAAATGGCTCTTGATGTTTTGGAACCTGCTTCAGTCTTACGGTAATTTTACAACAGTAAAAAGCGATTGATAAATCACCCCATACTCTAAGTTGATGTCAGCCACCGTCACAGGAGTAGCTTTTAAGTTCCTAAGTATCCTCACGTCACGACTAAACCGTTTTTCCATCGTTAATTGTAAGATAAGAATGTGTCCATTCTTAGCACTTACATGAAACAATTTATTCTTAGTGTTTTGGCCTTTCATAGGCAGCCTCAATGACGTAAATTATTCGGTCAGTATTCGAAAATCGAATAACATTCGAGAACCGAATAATATTCGAAATTCGAATAACGAATGACATTCGATATTCGAATATTATTCGATTCGAAATTTTCATTTTCGAATAATATTCGATAGTCGAATGTTCGAAATTTCCGATTTTCGAATATTATTCGAAAGTCGAATATTCGAAATTTTCAACTTTCGAATAATATTCGATAGTCGAATATTCGAGAATTTCGATTTTCGAATATAATTCGATATTCGAATATCCGAAATTTTCAATTTTCGAATATATTCGATATTGGAATATTCGAAAAAAATTTCGAATTTCCCCAAGTATAATAACCGGTATCGGGAAGGCACCACAAGTTGCCGGATTTCGATTAGGGCGCGATATAAACCACTCTTGTTACGGCAGCGCTAATTTCGGTACCTTTCCGTTATCCGGACCCATTTTTTTCAAAAAGCTATCATAAAATACGTTTTTTAGTCCAAAAACAATTTTTATAAATTTCACGAGGGCTGCTTCCCGCCACGTGTCAGGAAAACATTGACACTTGGTCAATTTTGACATGTTTTTTCAAAATCATTGCCGATGAGGAAAAAGAGCATTTGTAATCACTCAAAAGCTGTTTAATTGATTTCTATAGAAGCAAACAACCTAGAACTTTTAAAACATCTTCATCGTTTTCAGCAATGTTAGCATTGTCTTACTCTTCAAACCTTTCGCCTTGCGGATTTAGCCAGAAAATGATGGCTAAATGATGGCTTAAAGTTTCTTGCTACTGCTTGTTCTGTCACTTAGATGATGGGACCCTAGCTCACTTTTCTATTCTGTGAAGTCTAATCTGTTTAGGGCAACTCAAATTCTTGGTTAAAGGCACCGTCCACCCAAAGCGAAGTTGATGAGATTTCGGTGGCATACTAGTGTGGGCCCCCACACTAGGCAAACCCCCAAGTAGCGTCGCAAAATACTCCTTCCGAAGCGAGAAATCCGCTCCGGAAGGGACGTAACCGGAGGTGGTTACTCCGCCCACTTTGCAGGCGCACCGTTAGAGAGACTACATGCACAGCGCAGTACGCTGCCTCGTCGTAGGCGACTAACCGGAGTTTTTCTAGTGTTATTTCGTGTACTTGTATCCTCAACCGTTCGTTTTTTATTCAGTCATGACCAAATCTACGACAATTGTTTTTTCGATTATAGCCATCATCAGCATCCGGCATAGCTGTTTTTCTTGATATGAACACGATCTTTCGTTATAGGTGACGCTTGTGCTCAATAAAACGAGATGAACATGCGACGTGAGTTTTTTCATTGCAATGTACATCAAATTGAAAAACTATTTGTAGTCAAAATAATCGTTGACGCCGTCTACATGACTAATGAATCATCGCAATAAACTATCACGCATTTCTGTGTGCTAAAACAGTTGCTTTCACTGCTTTCTGTGTGAATGTGCTAAATACGCGGAACCTGGATCAAGACTGGGGCAAACATTTCCCAATCGATTGCACAATTGCCCATGACTAGTTTGCTAATGACGCCCTGCGTATATCAGCGCGCCTGCAAAGTGGGCGGAGTGACCACCTCCGGTTACGTCCCTTCCGGAGCGGATTTCTCGCTTCGGAAGGAGTATTTTGCGACGCTACTTGGGGGTTTGCCTAATGTGGGGGCCCACACTAGTATGCCACCGAAATCTCATCAACTTCGCTTTGGGTGGACGGTGCCTTTAAACCAGTCAAACATGTAAATGGCATGTCAAATTTTTTTGACACATGGCAGGAGGGTTGACACTCATTCCTGTGAAGTTGGGAACAAATATGGTATGAAGGAAGAAGCAATATCCGCCACTCCTCCCCCCTCTCTCCCCCCCCCCCCCCCATTTAGACTGCCGCCGTGCTACTTCAGCATAGGAGAATCCTTGTGGGACATAGGACACAAACTATCTCTCAGTGTATGCGGCAGAGCAGCCGCCGCGCGCAGTTTGACCCCTATTGCTAGACTGATCACTCAAAATCTGTCGACTACTGGCCTCAGAAAATATGAAAAGAAAACACATGGCAGAACTGGCCGTTTTCGACAAATGTGACACACGCCTTTGTCAACATCTTGGGGCACCGAATACCAAAAAAAATCTCAAGCATATGATCAAACCATCAGAGATACATAAACGAAGCGAAATTCTCCACCACAAAATGTAACAACGGAAAACATTCAAAGCCGTGGATTTTGTTCAATCTCGACTAAAGAGGGTTAGTCGACTCGCTGATGCCGAATATCAAATCAGTTTTTGCACGATAACGCCTTTTCCGGGATTCCAGTGGTTGTAGGTAGGGAGTCATAATCATGGATTTCGAACTTGGCTCAGGGGGGCTATTCGACATGCTAATCACAAAAACCATGCTCTTTTCGCATGATGAGGCCTTTTTGTAAAGTTACTGTGGGTTTACGGTAGGACTAAATAATGTCAAATTTGCCTGAAACTTTGCGTTTGGAGGCCGACTCGCCCTACCGTCATGCCTTCCATACAGGACCATGGTCATGCGCGACACACTTTGCGGCTTCGTCTAAGCAAACACAGGCGAAGAAGATTTGCCGCGTACGCCGTATACACACCATATCCACACAGGAAAACGTCTTCGTGAGGTAAAACGAGACATCCGTGACCAGCATGTCAAATTACCCCCCCCCCCCGTGCCAAGTTTCAGGCAAATCCACGGTTTTGACCCCCTGCCTACACCCACCGTGACCTCAGAAAATGATGCTACCGTATAGAACCAGTACGATATCCGGCATCAGAGGGCTGAATACCCCCGCCAAGTTTTAGCAAAATCCATGGCGAAAAACTTTTGGGGTCAGGATAGTCGAATAGCGCCGCCCTACCCTACACCTATCGTAGCCCCACCAAATGACATTTTTGTGTAGATAGTGTGTTATTCTGGCCAGCATATCGAATAACCCCCACAGACCGAGTTATAGCGAGATTCACGACTTTGAAAATTTTGAGCCCGGATACTGAATATGGCGAAGAAGTCGGGTAAGATCCATAAAAAGCTTTTAATGACAGCAACATGGTGCTACAGGGATGAAGAGAATTGGAATAGGTTTGAAACAAGACTGCGAGATATGTCGGCTGAATAGACAAAGGAGAAATACAGCTCCGCTGGGGGACGGCGCTGCCGTAGCAGGAGTGGTAAATATCGCGCTCTAATCGAAATTCGGCACTTGTAGTGTTGTCCCGATACCGAATATTCTTCGCAAGAGTGCTCACCCAGAGATTACGGAAAAACAGCTAGTGCTGTTGCATACTTTATCACAAACTGAGTATTTCTCACTTATTCTTCAACCAGCGCGAAATCGCATCCTATGCTCGTGCTTTTATTCGATTTTATGCCAGCCACATAAGCAACTAGTGATCCAGTTTGAAAATTTTCTAGAGGTAGCTGCAGATTATCACTCAACCAGATGCACCATGCAATTATCATGAGCTGGTTAATGTGTAGAGCTGTGTTCAGCATTGGTCGACAAGCTCCAATACTTCGATTGTCATGTGGCCTATCGAAATTCCTTGTTTCCCAAGGCAGCTCATTATACGAAATTTTGTTGACATTGAATTTTTGAAAAAGTTGAGGAGTTTAAACTATTGATATGTTAAAACTTTGAAGCAGAATAATATTTACATTACGGCTTTGCTCATTTGACATTGCTCCATGTACCTTATGATAGAAACACTAGCGTGGCAGCAATAAACAACACGAAAAGCATTTTTAGTATGACAAAAGAGAAATGGCAAGAGGAATTGCCGCAATCACTGCTAAAGATGCTTTATGGGCATGGAAAAATAATGCTGGTGACACTCCCATCGATGTAGCAAGTTCGAGGTAAAAGTTTCTTCTTTTTCTCTTTATAGGACAACAGATCATCGAAACGCTGTTTTTGAAACACATGTGAGCTTGAATGCTTTCAAAGGTTTTTACCCAATTACAAGCTAGATTTGACGTGATTTGAGTTTATACGTAGGCTGTCTCTAAAGTTTAAAAGGTTTTTTGATCGGTCACTGAGAATAACAGAACACGGACCGAGAACGACTTAATTATTGTTTAGATACAATTTCATGCTTTTTTTGATACCACAAATTTCTTTTTTATGAAGCTCCAGATGTCATTGCAGCTCTTTGAACAGTCCAGTAGTGACGCATGTTTCCCTCAAAATTGCGATGGTTGCTATCTATCATGTTGAGTATTTTGATCATGTAAAACTCGTCCATTTGAAGAGAAAAACCCCACTTTCTTAGGGCATGCAGCGCACAGAGTGCCGTGAATTCAAAACGATTCTTCAATGCACATCAAACTTGCCTCTCTTGCAAAAATGATGTTTAACAGTAACCAAGCTCCAACTTCAAACTTTCACGTTTTGCTGCAGTTGTGGGTTTCATGACCCAACGGAATCGAAATTTCCAAAGCAAAAATAAACTTGAGAGCATTACCATATTTTCCGAAATTCCCTTTTTTGAAATACCTCCTCTTTGGGAAGCTCAAAAATAAAATTCTAAAAAATTGTACGAACTCTGAGCAGGCAGAAATGATAGGTGAAGAAATTCGGCGGTTATTGTGAAGAGTTCAAAAGAATTTGGTCAAAAAATAGAGCCATCAGAAGGAAAGAGAAAGCTTCGTCAAACACACATTTGAACACATTTACGTCTTTATAAAAGTTCTTTTAAAGTCATTCGCAAAACTAGACAAAACTTTCGGAACAAAATAGATGTTATAAGTATCCTTGCATCACGCGGGGGATTTACCTGTTTAGGAGGAGGGAGGAAACGGCATGACATTCCGGTCCATTTTAGAAGAAGCATTCAGCTTTTGTAGTCGTCCTGTAGGTTGAATAAAGCAGTGGTGCTGACTTTTGCCATTGTGGAATTTACTTTCTTTCGTTGTAAGAGTGAGGTGCAAAATGAGGCAACGGCTAAAGTTCTTATCAACAATTCCTGTGTGAAAGTCATGACTTTGCAAGTGGAGGCGATGTTTTGAACACAGTTAATTTTTTTTAATGGAAAATTTTCGCGATTTGTTGTAAGACGTTCTTTCTTGAGCGTCGTTTCCCTAATGACTCGCACTTGACAATATAGATGTGTATTGTACGTGTATTGTGCATTATATTGAATGCTGAACTAGTCGAACCAGATGTGCTGCTGTCTTTTGTAGTAGCCAGATGCAAGTTTCCCAAAAAGGAGATCACGCACTAGCTTCAACAGGTTTTCGCAACGTACCAGTACAATACCTTTCATAGTTATCCAGAAAAGTTGCCGCAGCAAACGAGAAAGCGAGATGCATTGTCTGATCTATGAAAGTGAGGCGATCAGAATTCACGATTTTTTTTGCTTACGGTAGATTAGTTAGTGTGTAATGAAATAAACACATTATGTAACGTACTGCAAGCAAAAATCTAGAACCTAGCCGCCTGATTAACTCAAGCGGGCACTTCCTACATATAGGAAGGTGGCCTGGTCGAGCTGAGTCAAGCGTTGTGTTTGGATTCCAAATTCCCCCTTAAATCAAGATATGGCGATGCAACGCGGGCGGATTGCGGTGAACTCCGGCGAGAGCGGCGACATTTTCGGCTGACTATGAGCGGTAGCGTAACAAACCAATCGTTTCACACAAGATTTGCCTTATTCTCTCCACATCCCAATCTTTCAAGGAAATAAAAATCGCGAAAGACGATGCTCTGCTTGACAGCAATCTTTGCATGTTTTTTTTTGCTGAGCCATAAACTTTTTGCAATGATTTTCTAGTTCCTCGTGTTCAAAATTTAACCTTTTATGTTGCGAATATACAATCACCTATGTCATAGATTAGAAATTGCCAAATATTCAAGTAATTTTCATTTCCTTCTCTACATTGAATCTATTATTATCTTTTAGCGAAATAACGCTCTATTAAGAGGACTGCTCCTCAAGCCTCAACAAACCTTGCTAACTTCCTTCCATGCGCGTTTTATTTAACACGTTGACGACATTGTGTATCCGCATGTATGCACGCCCTGACTCCCGTTTAGCATTTTCGTATATCCGCGCATATGCACGCTAGTTTTTTAGGTGCAAACGGAAAGTTTTAAGGTTACTTTTATGCAGTAATGCTATTAGTGGCCTGATTGTCTTACAGAACACAGGGCATCGCGGCACTGTTCAGGAGTTTTGGCCGCAAAATTGGGTAATCAGTCTGTTTTTGATCTAGTCAATACATGCTAATTACGTTTTCTCGAGAAGGTGAAAACTCTGTATAGCTGTTTTGAAATCAAACAAAGATGAATCAGGCCAAAAACACCTGGTTTTTCAACGCTTTTCTCTAAGAGCGATTCCTCAGATATAGCCATTGCAAGGATTATTGGAGGGAAAATCGATGCAAAAACCTTGATTTGTGTAAGTCCTGGTAAGGCTCTGTGATATACCTGTATGTCTAAACAATGTTCGCATGTTTTATTAATAAGTGACAAAATGAGTCCCACATAATGTTTTCGTGCATCCGCGCGTATGCACGGGCCAAAGCGCGAAGGACGTTAGTGGGAGTTTCGCCCAAAATGGCGCGGTCGTCAACGTGTTAAACATGTAGCCCGTTCTTTTCAGTAGTAAATTAAAATGTGAAAGGCAACAAACGCAAAAGATCAAAAGATCGGTCACAAATTGGATCAAAAGTGGAAATATCGGTCATATTTTACAGAATAAAAAGAGATTTGCTGCTGATTTCGAGGAAGGGTGCGCCGATAGCAGATCATCACACGAATTACAATAACCGTTTAGTTAAAGAAAAGATAAAGTGAGTTATACACTAGAAATGTGATACAAAATAGAAGTCTCCTTTTGCAGAAACGCAGACGAGAACCACAAGGTGATTCTCAGTTTTGATGGAGGAGGTATCAAGGCTATACTGGAGACCGCAGTATGTTTTTGACACTGATCTGGTAATGGCTGCCATATCCAAAGGGCTCTCACCCTTATTTGTTTTACCATGCAATTATTTACCCTCCTCCATGTACCAATCCTCTATCCTACCGCAAAACATGCAAACTTGTTGAAACGATAAAAGCAGTTGAAAATTTACCAAAGTTATCTCAAGCTTTTCGTTAACCCATTTATCATTCAGCTTCCCAGCAACAAACACAAAATAAAAAAAGCCATAACACTAGTTCTAAACCTCCTTAGGTCATCAGAAAGCCGTAAGCAAATAGTGGCTCAGATTGACTCGAACTCACATCCAATGTAGGTATACAGCCCTGCGGCGCAGCATTATAATGTAAGGCGGTCGGCATCGTCGCGCCGTTTCGAAGACGCAATTTGTGTCGCAGTTCTAGGACTTTTGGATTAAAAATTGGAAAGAAGCCCTTCTCAATTTTTGCATATGCGACTTTACTTTAAAGATTATTTTTTTTGGTACTCAGTTTTCGGAATTCACACATTTCTATATGGTTTTGAGGTGTAACTGCATTAACTGCTACTTGTGGACCAATTCGAATATAGTTGTATTCCCACAAGCTTTTAGTTGCTTTGCTTCGAGTTGTATATGGAAAAAAACAAACATGAAAACAGATAAGAAAAGCGATTTTTATAAAGTTTCAAGCAAAAAATATGCAAAGCATTGAGTACTCCATCAATATGCGGTAAAAACCGCATAAGCAAAATATCAGGGATTGTTTTTTGTGAGTAAGCCAACTGTGTGGAAGTGCAACGTCGCGCGCGACATGTGCTTCAGTATAATGCCCGTCCTTCCCAGCATCTTATCCATACAAACACAGACAATCACTTTGTGTCGTGTCGAAAATATTTGAGACGGTGCTATCAGCGAGTGTGCAAAATAACACGAGAACTAACCCCATTGAACAGCAAAAGGGAAGTTTATGAAATAGATTTAAATGCTGTTCCCCGCAGATTCATAAGCTTGGCATCTATTGTAACGAAGCGCCGTACATATCGAAATTCTAGTCAAACTGTAAAGCTCAGGAAAATCTGAGAAAGCTATCAATGTTATCAGTGGAGTAGATTTTAGATTTTGAAAGCAATAGAAGAAGAACTAGGTGAGCCGTTGCTCAATCGAGTGCACTGGATAGGTGGTACCAGCTGTGGTGGAATCATTGCTGTCACTCTTGGTTTAGGTGGGTACCACTTTGAATCAAGCAGCAACGCTTTTTGTAATAAAGTTTATTGCATATAGCAATTTCAGGGCTTAGCATTGAGCAATGCAAAAGGATATTTATGTGCGCTCGTCGTCAAACTTTTTGTGGCAACAATATGATGTTTCCAAAACATAACTCGCGTGGAATAGAAGAATTACTCAGGCAGACCTATGGGCCGCAGACAACAATGGCCAGCCTCAAACAACAGAAGTATGACAGTGCTAATCTCAAGTCCATGCTTTTGTCATGTTTTGTAGGGTTCTTGTAACCGCTGCAAAGATCAAATCTGCCCCTCCGCAGCTAGTGTTATTCCGAAGTTATGCGCCCAGAGTAACACCAAGGGAGTATGAAAAATATGGCTACATGAATCCTGAAAAGATTCTAGTTTGGAAAGCGGCTAGAGCAACTTCGTTGGGTTTCGCTTCAGCTCTTCATCAAAACCTATCCATGTGAGATTTCTTTAGAGCGGCTCCGGTATTTTTCGAATCTTTCCATGGTCTCGCTGATGGTGCAATATTCTGTAACAATCCTTGTCTCACATTGCTGACTGAGTTTTTCCGTCTTCAAAAAATTGAAAGGCACAAGAATCTTGTCAGTCATTATGCCAGAAAGAACTACTCCTGAGCTTGCAATTATTTACAGAAAAACGATGACAAAGTAGGCTGCGTGATAACTATTGGAAGTGGTGCGGAACCGTCACTTCAGTTAGGAGGAATTGACATCAACTTAAGGTAAATTACCTTTACTTTTCTGAATCTAATCTCGTTATGAAATGTAAATTACTGCGGAACAAATATCATTTGAAATCTCTACTTGATAGGCTATTAGTGTTGATACAGCCTAGTTTGAGGAAGTAGTCAACTGCGATTTTTTGAATCGGGACGTCTGCACAGCGATCCTGTTAAAGCATCTGCTAGCTTCTTACAAGAGAAATACCTTCTCTAATCTTCACCTTTTCACACTTTTGTAATGTATGCAATCATCTCAGTGCATCATGGGCAGAGGTGCGATGGGGGGAGCCGGGCCCACCAAAAGTGAAGGTGATCCCAGCTACCACTCCGGCCAAAAGTGACGGTAGTAGTGCCGGACACTCACCTCCCTAAAACGTCGACGGGGGCACCAACGTCGATTGAGCCTATCCTTTCACGTCGTTGCCGTTAGTGCGCGGAAAACAAGCAAAACAGACGCAAAATTGGAAGATTATTGAAAGCATATTTTTATGTATCGGCATATATATATTTGAAATAAACGTGTTTAGTAAATGGTGTATTTGGAAGTAAAAGTTAGTGGGGCTGTACGGATTTTATCAAGTAAATTTTGCCATAACGTACTGCGAAGAAAATAGGTCGATCCAGGGAATAACCACCGAGAACCAGAATTTTAAATAATAAAACAACGATAAGTTATGCGAAATTTCCACTTTTACAAATCTTGCGGTTGAAGATGTTAGCATTTGCGACTTCATAAGTTTAAAAAGTAAGTAGTGCTCTATCAGATAGTGAAAAAATCGAGTCGATTTTAGAGATAGTCGTCGAAAACCAGAATTCTAAAAAATTACGCCATTTTAGCGCGTTTGATGACAGCTGACAGTTGAACTCATATAAATCTCGAATGTGAAAGTGTGTAATGTTGCGACTTCATAGACTTTGTAGAGTAAGGTCTGCCTTATCAGAGTATATCTTAGCCGTACCGATCCATTGAAACAGCACTGAGATCCAGGGTCCAAAGCAGGTAAAAAAGCGTATTCTGAACTCTAACAGCTCATAACTTCTTAAGAACTGCATGAATTATGTTGCGACTTCATATTAAATTCTTCTCATCAAAAGCTTTCAGATGATATATAATATGTGGGGGTTTAGGGTTTCCTACGACTTATGCCCGTGGGGAGAGACTTTTCATCACAAATTCTCCCCCAGCCCACTTTACATAATGTATTGGATGGAGGCCGCCAGGGGGAGACTTTGTGATGAAAAGTCTCCCCCCATGGGCCTAAGTTGTAGGAAGCACTAAACCCTCACATATTTTATATCATCTGAAAGCTTCTAGGAGAATCTAATCTATGAAGTCGCAACATGATTCATGCAGCTCTCAAGAATTTATGTGCTGTTAGAGTTCAAAATACGTTTTTTTACCTGCTTTTTCAAGACCCTGGAACCCAGCGCTGTTTCAATGGATCGGTACGGCTAAGATATACTCTGGTAAGGCAGACCTTACTCTACAAAGTCTATGAAGTTGCAACATCACACACTTTCACATTTAAGATTTATATGAGTTTAACTGCCAACTGTCAAAAACACGCAAAAATGGCGTAATTTTTTAGAATTCTGGTTTTCGACGACTATCTCTTAAATCGACTCGATCACTATCTGATAGAGCACTACTTACTCTTCAAATCTATGAAGTCGCAAATGCTGACATCTTCGACCGCAAGATTTATAAAAGTGGAAGTCTCATAATTTATCGTTAATTTATTATTCAAAATTCTGGTTCTCGGCGGTTATTCCCTGGATCGACCTACTTCCTTCGCAGTACGTTATGACAATTTCTACTAAAAAAAAATCCTTACAGTTCCGCTAACATTTACTCCCCAATATACCATTTACCAAACACGTTTATTTTAAATATATTATATTAGGTCGTTCCGAAAGTTCTTTCGCACCAAATTCAAAAATTCATAACTTGTTGAATTCCCAATAAATTTAAAGAAAATTTTATATAAGAGAGGAACTCATGCTCTTTGCACCTGTACCTGAACGGTTCGTTAATATATACAAATGAAGGAGATAGAAGCTCAAAACCAAAATCACTCAAAATTCGAATTTTTCGTGTAGGGTCATAAAAAATCGGAAACTCGCACCAAAAATCGAAGCGGTTGGTACTGTAGGTTCTTTTACCAGCTCTTTCTAACAGTGCAAAGATTGCGCCGATTGAGCGTCTCTATGAAAAGTTACGATTTTCGAGGAAGCAATACAAAAGGGCGAATTTGATTTATTAGGTCGTTCCGAAAGTAATGTCGCTTTCTTCGAATGAACGCCACTATGCGTGGAATCGACGTTTTCAAGAGATCTTAGAAGCATTCGATGCAGCACTTCATCCTCTTTCTGATGGTTCTAATTTCGCTGCATAATGTCTAATGAGCTCTCGAAAAAATACCAAAACCTGCGACTCATGCTTTTTGCCATTGTCAAGTTCGGCTATTTTTCTAAATTTTTGTACCTATTCTCCGAAGATGTGCAAGTGACAGTTAGATAAAGCAAACCCTATAGGACACAGGATAATTTTTCCTTCTCCTTAGCCTGCTTCTTAGAGTTTCTAGAATCAATTTTTCAATGCTATCAAATTGCATATTTGGTCAACTCAAACCACACAGAACAACAACCGGCAAGCAACTCGGGTGTCATTCAACGCGGCTTTTTCTCCTTTTTCTGTTAGTTGTTTTTTGTTTCCGATTCATTGAGTTTTCCGGGAGAAAATCATTATAATTCAACTTTTCCAAGGCACCCCAAGGTGTACCCGAAATTTTCGAAAGTTGCTAAACCGAAGCGGTGAATGCTCGTTTGGTTTGTAAAATTGTTGCCAAACCATAATCCATCTTTGTAACTTTCAAAATCCGGAGACTTCCTGGCGTTTGATGCACTTTTGTCTAAGACGAGCCTGCTAAAATTCGGTGATGTCATCAAAAAATCTGTACAAAAATTATGACGAGCTCAGGAAAGTAGAAAAAAGTTGTGCTATTTCCTGTAGGGTTTGCTCTATTCATCCATCGCTTGGACTCCTTTTGAGATTTGTTATAAAATTTTAGAAAAATTGTGAAACTTAGCCATCTCAAATAGCATAGGTCGCAGATTTTGACTCTTTTCTGGAAGCTCACTGACCGTATTGCAACAACTTCATAACCATTAGAAAGAGGATGAAATGCTGCATCAAATGCTACCAGAATCTCCTACACATCTTTGTTCCACGAGATGTGGTATACGTTTGAAAAAAGCGACATTACTTTCGGAACGACCTAATATTTTGGCTTTTTCAGAGAGATCATAACTTTTCATAGAGACGCTCAACCAGCACAAGCTTTGCATAGTTAGAAAGAACGGATAACAGAATCTATCCAACTGCCCGGATTTTTATTGTAAGTTTCCAATTTTTTATGACCCTACACAGAAAATTCAAATTTTGACCAACTTTCTTATATCGCTCCTATCTATGCAAAAGATGATCATTAGCAAGCAGTTAAGATGTCATTATAGAGAGCATGATTTACTCTTTCATACAAAATTAAAAGCAGTCAAATCGATTAGAAAAACCAGAAGTTATGAATTTTTGAAAATGGTGCGAAAGAACTTTTGGGACGACCTAATATACGCTGCCGTATACACAAAAATATGCTTTCAATAATCTTTTTTGCGTTTGTTATGCTTATTTTTCCTTCTTTAGCGTTCAGCGAAAAAAATTTTTGTTCCAAAAGTGAAGGTGGTCACCCTGTACCAGCTCAAAAGTGAAGGTAGGGGGAGAATCGGCTCCCACCATCGCACCTTTGATCATGGGGCAGCATTACAAAATCATCAACCAGTCGTTCAATTGTTCGCAGTGATTTTCCATCTCCTTTTGGTTGCTTCCAGTATCTTCGCAAAGATTCGTGCTTCCGAAGACCCAGCTACAAACCTGTTTCGCAGTTTCACCAAATGCTTCACTTGGTGGTATTCGGAATGCGTTTCGCGTTTCTCACAGCCCATTGTTATAGTCGTCGCCTTGTCTGAGTCTTCCTCAGTGGGTTTCCTTATCCTTTGGACGACAAGAGCAGCCTGGTTTATTATAGCCTGCTCTTGCCATCGGTTGCCAAAGACAATCTATCATTGACTCTTTGTATGAGTTATCGCCGTCGCTATCTTGTGAAGACGGTGGGAAATCTGGCCTGACGCTGGGCACCTGGCAAAGTCAAAGGGATGCTCAACCTTCCTATGGGTTAGGAACTTCTAGAGCATGAACTCGGATGTACATTGCAGTCTAAAACCCCACTGCTCGCCACGGTAAAATGAAGCGCGCCATAGGGGCCCTTGCTAAAAATGGCGAATGATCGGAAATTTTGGCAAAAGTCTATTAACGGTCTCATTCCAAAGCAAGCAGTCACGTGTTCATATTTGCATCATTACTTTGGAAACCCTTCGGAACATGCGCACACAACTCGTTAAGATTGGAAGTGTTGATGAGCAAGTTTTGACTCCAAACAAAAAATGACTTGTTTATTTAATTTTAACAAACACTAGCTGGCGTTTCCGGTCCAGCCCGGGCGAGGTTAAACTGGTCCGGCAAAGCACAATAGTTTGTTCCCGCTTGTTAATAGCCTCTCTTCTTGGGTGTTACTTCATCTTCACTGCTCCTTCCTTTTCCATGTTCTTGCTCCGAATCGTGCAGCCGTTTCCGTAACGGATTTTGTCTTCCTTTCTTGCTTTTCCGCCGCGGAATACTGCATCCTCCTAGCTGCGAGGAGTAAAAATGAAACTCACCACCCTCGTTTACGTTTTTACAGAAGATGCTTGGTCAAAACATGAAAGCTGTCATTTTCCTACATGTAACTAAACATATCAATAAATCGATGGAAGGACCCAGTGAATCGTCGCGAAAAGTAGCGTATCTTCTGTGCCGCGCCTCATTTATAGGGGAGCGAATTTCAGCCTCATTGGTTCCTAAACAAAGGAGTCTATAAGCCACATACTTACAAACGAACAAATTTACAGATTGAGTTTTATTTACATGTAAATTCTAGCTGGTTCAGCCATCCAGCTACATTGAGTCGAGGTGTTATATTTAAGGCAGCATTCGGGCAAACCTGAACATGTGCGGATCTAATTGTGGACAGTAATTTTGAGGCCCTAATTAAGACATTGCTCAACCTGCAGCTCAGAGGGGGTTCTAACGGCTGAGATATTCGCCTCCAAACTGGACCCCAGGATCGCATTTCGCATGGATTTATGGCGCAACACATCAGTTTCGCGTAGCCCTCGCGCGAAAGCATGCAAAGACGATGCAAGTCGTCTGATAGTACGATCCTGGGGTCCAATTTGGAGGCGTAAAAGACAGTCTTTAGTGAGTCATTTTGCGCTGCCGCTTAAGCCGTGCCTTAGTAAGGGCCCCAAAATTACTTTCCGCATAAAATCCTCATAGGTCCAATTTGTCTAGACCTGCTGCTTCTGATGTCTTTGAAGCTTTAAGCGCTCCTGACTAATGAGATGGCGTGGTCACATCTGAATTTGACTACCTCAACGTTTGAGCAGCTATAATGATGAAATTCAAAGAGCACGCAGGGGGCGTTAAAAGATGATGTACAAATAAACTTGCACGAGAACACAAATTTCGTGAAAGGCTTTGAAGTCTTTGTGAACGAACATTTAGTAGGTATAGCCAGAGTGATTACCAAGAAACAGTTTTGGTGGCCTCTGCTCATATCTCTCATAAATGTTCTTTGCGCAGAAAATCCGAATCTAACTTAGCTCTTTATAATCTTGTGCGAACCATTACAGAATTTCAGCAGTCCCTTTGCTCTTGGCAAAGATTTTATGAACATTTTTGGCAAAGGCAAGAATCTTATTACGCTCTTTATGTACCAGGTGAGCTATAATGAATGACACTCAACTCGCTTTCCAAAGTTGAGGCAGAATTTATCATTTCTTTATCATCAGCCCGTATACTATAAATAAGAAGATGATTACTGGGTTTATTTCAGTGCACATCGTCTCATGCAGTATCGGTTGGCCAAGCAAGAGAATGGGCTCATTCGCTCGGAATACCATACTTTCGTTTCTCACCGCGGTTATCACGTGCTTACGATTTGGACAGTATTGCAGCTGAAGGAATTTTTGACTTCTGGTTTGAGACTGAGGTATGTCGTAGCGTGTACAAGCTGATGAAACACTCAATCTATTTTAGGTTTATCTCAAAACCCAAGCACATCAGGAGATCGTCAATCTTTGCCGTCTACTGAGATCTATGCCGAAAGCGGGTGTGCAAAAATACAGCCAAAGCAAATCTTCTTAACTCAAAAATTCAACATCCTAACAACATTCGCCTTCAATAAACTATTTGAGGCAACATGTTCCAGTGGTACTAGTGCCATGAGGGTTGGCAAATCACCCTTGAACAAAATTACCTTGTAAAGGAGGGTTCGTAGAAGTGGTAGGACAGCACAAGATGAAGTTATCCAGAGCTTGGAACGTTGATTCCAAACCTGACCCTTCTCGCCGCAGAGCTCTTGTTAAAAAGAAGTGAGAATTTTTGGGAGAGGTTTGCGGCCATTTTGTCTGCATAGCTGCACTCCGACAAACCGTGTAGACAAGCGCAGTGGCAAACGTGCGTCTCTAAACAAAAATTGGTTTTGATTTGCGTGGGGGAACCTTGCATGCCATTAGCGACACGCAAACTACTGCGCAAACAAACCGGCCGCATCCAAAAAAGCCCCGAAACTTTATCCCACGAAGAAGGGCTTTGCGGCTGGGAAAGACAAATCTGTTCAAACATTCCAAGCCTTCTGTAATGGTATGCAACTTGTGCTCGGTCGTTTCTTCGTTATTCTCCTTTTCCAAATTTACTTACCTTCTCTGCTGAGCAATCTCTGAAAATCTGTCAGCGCTAGTACCAATTTTTGAAGCTTTGAGCGGCATTTAACCACTTCGACGACGATGTAGACCACCGGTGGCCCGCACCTCTTGCAAAGTCTTATTATTTGTAGGTCTAGTATTTTTTCATGTCAATACTTTTCTATTTTTTGCACTCTTGGGGCCTCTGCACTCCGTCGTTCGAGAAAATGTTTACGATTGTTTGCAAAACATTGTTGCATTTCTTAAATAACCACAATACCTTCCCTCCACGAAAGCGTTCTGCAAGATCGCGTCGTCCCACAGTGCCCCATACAGAATTAGGCGTCGTCAATGGGTTAACAGGGAAAAGCTGCACACAAACACTTATGCGGAATTGCAGCAGCATTGTCCTTTCCTTGTGTTAATATACACAACACAAAATCAACCGTGACTTTCGGGCTTTTTGTGCAGCTTTTCGCTAATTTTTTGCGTCTTGAGGCTTCACAAATTAGGATTACTAGGCGCCCGTAAGTTTTTAGGGGGCTGTTCTGCAAGAAAAAGCAGACTTTTAATTAGCGTTCAAAAACACGTTTACTGATGTCAGCCTTTCTTCGAATATCCACTGCAACTTGCTTTCTTTCCCTGTCAAAGCTGCTTGAGGGGAGCTGAGACTATTGCTACTTTAAGGTTAAACTAAACAATAGATATACTGTATTCCGAGGTTGAATTCTACCTCGTAAACACGGATGCTTCGAACATACTTCAACGCTCTTGTTATCGCTGTTAACACAGCTGGTAGTGTTTCCACTTTGCCAAATGCCATGGTTGCTGTCTTTGTTGACGGTGTTCCACTTAGAATAAATGATCGATTTTGCATTTTTCTTTTTTCGCTAGCGGTCGGGAACTACTCTGAAACAGGATCCCTAACAGCGGTGACAATGCAACGAAGTAACAGTGGTTAAACCGGCAACAGTCATAAGAATTTCAAAGGTCCGCTGATAATTACGGCCACTGAATGACTAGAGGAACCAATTTGATAATGGCGAAGATGCGGAAACATTCCACGTTTTTCCGACTCTTACCGGACCCTTTCGCATTGAATACCTTCAAATACCATTTCCTCTAAGCTTTGGAAAGTAGTAAGATTTTTCAAAGGCTCGTTTTTAGTTTTTCAGGGACTTCCTCGAGTACTCTGCTCAACCTCGCATGCTTGCTCACTCCTTTCGAAGATCATGCTCCCGAAGTGAGCATTCGGTAACAAAGGGAAGATATCCGTTCGACGCATGGAATCACACCGGTAGCAAAATACTGCATGATTCGGTAAAGAAAATCATTTTCAAGCCTTTTCAACTTTGCTCTCACCCAACTACCTAAATTGCGAAGCTTGATAGATCAAGGATCAAAGATTCGGCCTCTTCATTACCTCTGCGCAGATGCGCCGAACGCACTCTACTTCATAGTCGAGGAGGCTTCTAAGTGCATGCGAGCCTTTTGCAGTAACTTGCGGGTGCCCGCCGATTACCAAGTCAATGCTTTTATCCTTCCAGATTACTTTGGTACCAATTTACGGGTGGGGAGCAAGAGGGACGATAGTTGGTGGTTGTCTAACTCGCGCTTACTTCACCATCATTTTTGTCTATTTAGAGCAGTTCCTTTTCTTAATGCTTTCATCAACTCACAAGGAAAGGATACTTGGTGACCGTGGCCTTTTGAAATGAAACGTATGCCATTAAATGCATCTTGAAGAGCTGATTCCAAATCTGTTTTCATTATCTGCTGTGCGCTCTTTCGAAAGAAGTTACGAACATTTATTCTCACCAAAACTTGCACTGTTTTTGGTGCAGGATTCACCATTATCGTTAAAATGTTTGCGTACGCACTACAAAAAAGCGTACAGATAAAGTAAAGCTTCACTTTAAGTTCAGGAAAACTGTCACCAATACATCAGTGTCTAAAAAGCCTGGATACTGACGATTTTGATTGCCTAAATCTCGCAAAATCAAAATGGAAAAAAATCCATAACTTCGTTTAGGGAGTCGCACAGCAGATAATGAACATAGATTTGGAACCAGCGTTCCAAGGCGCACACGCACCTACTGGTCTACATCTCATTGCAAAAGGCCACGGTTACTTAGTATTATCCTTCCCTCGTCAGACAAATCACTTGAACTTTTCTAGGAGCAAGAATTTGCCAAACTTCCCGAGGATTTCATTTAGCACGTAGGTGAATGGAGCCATGAAAACGGAAACTTCCCGAGAACTTTGACACCAAGATCAACACAGTTAGGAACATCCCGAGGAAGTCCACGGAACGTTTTGCAAAATGCAGAACTTCCCGAGGACTTAAATTTTGAGAAACTTCCCCGCAGAGCTGTTTTGCAAATTAGCAAAACAGTTCTGTTTTTCTTGTTTTGCAAGCAACTACCTGAGAGCATCAATAGTGATAAGCTTAAAGTTTGATAAACTAAAGGTTAAGGTGCTTTTCATTTCTATCATCGCCGTTTAGAGGATAGGTAACCATTTTGGTATCGATACCTATCTATAGTCACCTTCACAGCTCGTGCTACCCTTGGTCTGCGTCTCAGACCTGCCACGTGTGGCTAACATGTTGGCAACGTGGCAACAACATGTTTGCAACATGCAGCAACAAGTTGGCATAATCAAAATGTCTTGCCAACATGTTGTGGCATGTTACGAACATGTTGTTGCATGTTGGCAACGTGTTGCTGCCAACGTTGCCAATGTGTTAGTCACACGTGGCACGTCCGCGAGGCCACAAGGGTAGCACGAGCTGTGAAGGGGGATGTCAGTTCGCTTATTACCTTCTTGGCCTCGGGAAAAGATTCAGCTAAATATTTTTGTGTCCCACTGACGAAATTGGAAATCCGTAAAAATTCCTTTAGGGGATCCGATAATCTTTGCACTTTGTGCAAGGCGCAGTCCAGTGCGTGCAATCACATAATTACGCAGACAGCATGACCTTCTAGCTAGGGAGGTGTGCAAGTCTTACCCGGGCAGCCGCCTGGTGCCGCAGCCAGCCGCCAGAGCCGGCACCAGCGTCGCGGCTGAGCTATTGTAAGCGCGCTCTCGTCGTCCGCAAGCTCTCGCTGAGTGATTTTCGCAGCAGCCTCGCACTGAGGTGTAAGAATTCCCTCAAAAGTCGACATATACAAGGTGTCCCAAAAGCATGTATACACTGTTTGGTCGTTAATATCTCTCTTTCTAATAAGTCTTTTACCTAACTTAAGGTTCTATTTTGTAGAGATAACTTAGATTTGCATTATGGAGCGAGTCACCAGAGGTTCCTCATTACTGTGGGATTATGGTAGGAACTATTGCCTCTAGCGTCATAGTATACTAGTCGTGTTTTACAAAAAGTTCCCAAAGATTCTGAAAATTGGGGTATTGGAAACTTACGCGCGCTGATTTTATTACTCAACTTTCTACGAGTTTGTAAAGCATTTCAAAGGGTGTAATCACAATTTTAGGAAGCATCGTGAAGACAGCTATCACGGTTTACCTGGCTTAATTTATGAAGGAAGCACCGCGATCATATGCAAATTTCATATTTGGTTTTACAACCCTTATTACCCTAGTGTAGGAATTTTTAGATTGTTTGGTTTGCTTTCCAGGGCGAAATGGGCTCTGAATAGCTTAAAACCTTCCGTAATCCCACAATAATGAACAAACACCATTGATTTTTTCCGTGCTGTGAATCTAAGTTGAAGATAGCTTTACAGAGCAATACCTGGAAGTAAGCAAAAGATTTTAGGGATGAGAGATATTGATGATCAAACAGTGTATACATACTTTTGGGACAGCTTGTATTATACATCGATCTAGACAGTCATCCAGGAGGAGAGGCAGGAGATGTTGAGGTCCGCGCCGATCACTAAACGAGCTGGGTATTCATTCAGACCAGCTTCTTAATATGTGCCATGCTTCTATTGTGTGGTAGAACTTTAAAATTTAAAAATAACTTAAAGCCGATTATTAAAAATTTTGATGTGTGCACGTAAGTGCATCAGTGCAGCCTTGCAAAGTCAACTGCTGCAAACTAAGAGCGGCTGCAAATAAATGCAGCACACTTTTATGAAAATATATCACTTGAATGATACACCATTTAGTGGGAGCAGAAAATGACGCTAGATCGTTGCCTTACTTGCATTACACACAAGTTACTGTATCATTTAATGTTTTAAATTCAAGGCTTGCTTTTGAAGGTCTTGTAGCAGTACTCATCTCAAACGCGATGCGCGTTTGCTTGTCGCGCGAGGTCGGAAGTACGATTTTTTGCCGCCCTTTATGCAATGATTGCAAGAAGGGCACCGTTATTAAGTGTCACCCTGCAGGCAATCCTTTCTTTTTCCGCAGCAAGCAAGTAAAAGATCTTTTTCAGGAAACACTCCACCATTATAGTAGGCAAATAGCGCAATTTGATTTACAGGATTTGTCCAGGCTAGTGCAGAGCGCTGAGCGTTCTACTCTTGGAG